GGCCCTCGCCTGGCCGGGGCCGCGCCTGCGAGAGGAGGGAGCGGCGGGGGCGGGTGCTGTGTCTCTGACTGCCTAGGGCCTGTGTGCGGGGACTGGCTCGCGCTGCCCGCCCACACCCTGGCTCTGATCCCGCCCATTACCCGGCCCCAGCAATCCCAGACTCAAAAAATAAAAAAAATAAATAACGAAGTCCTGCAGTCACCGGCCGCGGCCACCTGGCACCTGCTGTCACTCCCCGCCACAGAGTGCGGCCCGGGTCGGCCGCGCGCGCAGTCAGCCGAGTAGGGGGCACGTGTGGGTGAGCCTCTTGCCGGGTGGGGAGGTGCGGGGCTCGCCGGCGCCTGCCCTTTTGGGCATAGAGCCGGCTGGTCTGGGACGTTGTGGGGCGGGCGGGAATCCAGCCCCCGCCTGTCTCCTGGAGCTGGCAGCTCAGGGTCAGGCCAGGGCTGGAGTCCCAGCGCCCGCTCACTCCCCGGAGCAGCCAGCTCCCAGTGTTGCAGAGCTACTCCGGGGGACAGGCATGGGCTGGGTTTCAGCCCCACCTCCCGCCTTCCCGGAGCAGCCGGGGACACAGCTCCTCACTCCCGGTGCCAATCAGCTGGCAGCTGCTGGGGGGAGCCAAGGAACTGAGCAGTGCCAGGACCAGGGACAGGGAGCTCCCTCCCCTGTGACCCCCTGCTGCCTAGGCTGACCTGGAGTAAATTTCTCCTGGTCAGCATCTACACGAGTTACTGCACAGTATCTACTCTGCAGTTAGTTTACTAGCTAACTGCACAGTAGACAAATGGTACTGCTTAGTGAATGTGAGCATGTGTAGACGGTGATGCTTTACTGCACGCTCTACTGCTCAGTAAAGCATCTTGTATAGACACACCCAAAGATATTAAGGCATACATCTTTAGAAGTGTTGGCACTGGAGTTATAAACCAGTCCAGATACCTTGTTCCAGGCAGGCCCGGCCTTTCTAAATTTTTCCAACTATGACACCTCTGTTGGATAAGAGGAAAACTTTTTTGATACGTAGTAGCCATGTCTACATAAGGCTCTTTACTGCACAGTTGACTAAATTACTATGCAGTAAAGCACCATGGTCCCTACACATGCAGGCTTTTACTGTGCAGTAAATTAGTCTACTGTATGGCTAGTTTGCTACCTGCAGGTAGCAAATTAACTGTGCCATAGTTACTGGCAGTAGCACATGTAGACGCTGACTGGGAGCTACCTTCAAGCTAGCACCAGGACCGCAAGGCTTGGAGCTTCTCTAGCCCTGGGGCTAGGGCAGCTCTTTGTTTGCCCTAGCCTGGCCTTTAAAACTCATCGGTGACCCTGGGACCTGTGCCACCTGCTGACTGCCTCTGGCCGCTGGGTCCCGCAGCAGTGGCCTTGTGCGGACCACAGCAGCCTGCATGGGCCCCGGGGCCAGCCCCACCACCTGCCTGCCTGCTTTGCTGCCACTGGGCTGCAGGCACTAGCCCAGGTTCGGCAGCCCTCAGACTCTGAGCTGCAGCTGCAGCTCCTGAGGGCCATCAGGAGAGCCACACTGGTGTCATTCCTGATGCCACATACCACTTCCCAGGATGGTGGACCTTGTGGCACTGTGGGGCAACACCAAGGTCCAGAGCCACTTTGCCTCGGGCTGGTGCTCCAACGTCCACATCTATAAGGCCCTGGCAGGCTGCATGCAGGAGCACAGGCACTAGTGGTCTGCACACCAGTGCTGCATAAAGGTCAAGGCCCTGCGGGCACAGTGGGTCCTTATCACTGACCACAGCAGTTGGTTGGGGACTTCCCACAGGCCCATGCTCTTTATGTGGCAGATGGACCATATCCTTATTCCTGGGGTCCCTGGTTGGAGCTGTGCTGTGTTTTTCAGCATGGGCAACCTGCTGGCACCTCTTCCCCAGCCTGGCAGCACCGACAGTCCTCGGTGGGGGAGGGCACCAGGGGCACGTCCCTGCATGTTTCCTACCCCTGGCCTCATCTGGCAGCTGAATGACCTGGGCCACTTCCCCACCACCACCTCCAGGAGGTTGTGGACCCAGAGCACAATGTGCCCCAGCATGTCCTGGAGAGTGCTGCAGACCTTTGGGACAGCTTCCCTGGCAGTCACTTTGCCCATTGAGAAGAGGTGGCTGATATAGCGCAAGGTGGCAGGCATGGCCAGTTTGAACAGAGAGACTGCATGGTTGGGGACTGCTACTCCAGGTGTAGGTGGAGCTGATCGAGGAGCTCCTGGAAAGTGGCCCAGGTCATCCAGAATGAGTCCAGCCACTGCTTGTCATCACCAGTGCACTGGACGACGTGGAGCCACCTGTCCTAGCTGGCAGGGCAGGTCCACAGGCGGAGGAGCTGGAGCGCCAGGAGCTTGTGGATGCTACCTGTGGCAGCATCCATGTGCATGTTGTCAGTGTCCCTGATGGTGTCCAGGCAGCAGCCCAGGTACGGGTTGCTGTCAGCGCAGGGCCAGGAGGCTTCAGATGCAATGGTGAGCTTGGCCATGTGGCATGGGGGGGAAGACAGGGTCAAGACTGACCAAGGCCTGGTGGCAGTTGCTGGGCGGTGAAGTGTGGCGAACAGGTCGGCAAAGAGAAGGCCGGGGTGTGGGTCATCGCTGCTAGGGCCTGGGAGTGGAGCAGCCATTACATGGTGGGCACAGACTCTGTGGACAGTCAAAGAGGGCTGTACCAGCACAATGAAGACTGCTCTGGGCCAGAAAAGCAGGTGGCCAGGGAGCACTGCACAGAGCTGCCTTTAAAGAGTGCCCCTGGCACCCAGGCAGCTGCATCCAGAGCCTCCATCTCCCCCTTGCTGCTACACAGGGGCAGAGCAGGGACAGAGGGGGCCTGGAGCAGGCTACTACCATAAGGAGCAAATCTGTTTCAAATAGCTGCACGTATAGACACCTGTCCAGGACTGGTTTACTGTGCAGTAAGTTACTGTGCAGTAAATCAAAATAGCCTTAATTGCATTGTGTAGATTTGCCCAGTGACAGCAAATAAGATTAATGCCAGCAAAGCAAGTGAAATGACTACAGAATCCTACTCATTTACCAGTCCTAGGGTTTCATAAGGAGATGGTATGTCTAGCTAGTATGCGAATGCCACCTCATGGTTCTTGATTCAATCAGGATGTCAGCAACCTTGGAGGCTGGTGGTTGATGACCCACCCCAAAATTATTGCCCAGGGATTCCTTCTTTTGTGTTCTCTTTCTCCTAAATTTCCCCTTCTGCAGCTTGAGGCATTGCTCCTAGTCCTGTCCTCTATGGCCACAGAGAAAAGTATATCTCCATCCTCTCTAGAAATGCCCCTTCAGGTATTTGAAGACTGTTATCAAATCCCCCACCAGTTTTCTCTTCTTCAGATGAACTATCCTTAGTTCTTTCAGCCTTTACTCATAAGTCTTGCTTTCAGGCCTTTAATAATTTTTACTACTTTGCACCAATTTTTTTTCAATCTGTCCACATCTTGAAGTGCTGGGCCCAGAACTAGACACAATACTCCAAGTGAGGCCTCACAAGCACCAGATCTAGCAGAAGAACCGCTTCCCTTGATTTGCAAATGATACCCTTGTTATTACAGCCCAGTATGCTTTTTTTTTGTTGGCTCACATTTAGCTTATGGTCTACTGTTACCTTCAGTCAGGGCCATCCCTAGGGTGGGGGTGAATCGGGGTGACCGCCCCAGGCCCCGCGCTTTGGGGGGCCCCGTGGAGCTGGGTGGAGTGGTGGCTCTGTGTCCAGCTGCTCGCTACCTCCCCCTAACCCCTGCTGCCAATGGTGGCAGAAACTTCTTTGGGTCCGGGGCCCATGGGATTGGAGTGGGGGCAGAGCCCTGCATGGGTTGATTTGCCCTGGGCCCCGCACCCTGCTCGGGTTAGCTCTGCCCCCAGTTCTTCTCTGCAGTACTACAACCTAGCCTATCGTTCCCCAGCCTGTATTTTTTGCATGCAATTATTCCACTCCACATGCAGGACTTTGCACTTGTTCTTGTTGAACTTCATCTAATTCATTGCAGACTATTTTTCCAGCCTATTCCTACCTGGATCCTAGCCCTGTCCTCCAAAATGTCTGCCACTCCACCCAACTTGGTCACCTGCTAATTTGGTAAGCATGTGCTCAATTCCATCATCTAAATCATTAACAAAGATGTTGAACACTATGAGATCCAGGATAGACCTCTGGGGAACCTCACTTGACATCATCTCCCAATGAGACATTGAGCCATTGATGACTACTCATTGAGCTCAATGATCCAATCAGGTATATATCCATGTTACTTTAATCTATTCCATATTTCCTTGTTAACGAGACTGTCCTGGGAGACTGTCAAAAGTTTTGCTAATGTCAAAGTATATCATATATATTGCTCTCCTCCCATCCATACAGCCTATCACCTTATCATAGAAGCAGGGCTGGACACAGGCATGGGTGAAGAACTGGGTGGCTGCCTGGGGTCCAAAAATGGTAATTAAAAATTATTATTATCATTATCTCTGGCAAAGGGAGTCCCAACACTAAAAGTTCACC